AATGAGACACCTGAATGTATTGTTTAAATAGGACTGGACTCGTGTTCAGAATTTTAGAACTGGAGAAATGTAGATTGAAAATTGAAAACCTCAGCGGAAACAACAGATGGCTGCCTTGCAACGCAACAGACGCCAACTGCAGTTAATACACATTTTAAACAACTTCCAGATATTGAAATATGTACTCATTCTGGTAAAAGGAGCAAAAGGGGGACCATTTCTGACATGTATACAATCAAAAGAAACAAAACAAATCCCTTTTGAGTCATATCATCAAATTCCATCGAAGAAGAACAATGTGGAGCATAAACTGAAAAAAAAAAAATACATTGCCGATGGGTGGGCGGGGAGCTTCAGGGGTGCTGAACAGATTTCTGATTGGGCTGTAGCCCCCCCGGCCCCGGAGTAATGCATGTTAAAATGTGAAATCTGTCATTTTAAAACATGCTGTTGATCACATTATTATGTGATGTAAGTTTTTGTTTTTTAACTTACCGGTATTCTTGATGAGCTGTACATGAAAGAATTGTTTTTCCTTTCGGTCTTTTGGGTTTGAAATACTGCGAGACTTTAAAAGAAGCGATTACATTCCTCCACTGGATTCATGTTTCATTAAGAGGCCAAAGGGTTCGGCTGTCCCTTTATAGTTTTTTTTTTTTTTTTCTGCGCGTCAAATATAAGGTGACTATATCCTGCAGCTGTGTTTCCTCAAATGTCACAACAGTGTTTGGGTTGAATGATCAAAGGTATCATCTGCCGAGAGCATTAATCCTAACCAGTCGACTGTGCATGGTCAACTGGCAACCTGAGGGCCGTATATTCTCAGAGGTACTTTGACTACCACTTCATATACAGTACTACAACGTGATTAGTCCTAATATTTATTTGCAGATTTGAAATTGTCGGCAGGATATATTACCTCGATAATATTAACATTTGCACCGTGTTGATTTTTGTGAAAAAAAATAACAAGACGGGTGGCATGGTGGTTGACTTATTAGCACTCCCGCCTCACATTCCAGAGGTCCAGCTAGGGTTCAATTCTTGGCTCCGGCCTCCTGTGCGGGGTTTGCATGTGCTCCCTGTGTCTCCCTGGGGTTGCTCAGAGTGCTACGGTTTTCTGCCACATTCCAAAAACATGCATATTAGGTTAATAGAACACGCTAAATTGTACCTAGTTGTAAATGGTTGTTTGTCTATGTGTGACCTGCAATTGGTTGGCGACCAGTTGAGCGTGTAGCCCACCTACGACCCAAAGACGGCTCCGATAGGCCCCAGCATACCCGAGACCTGTGAGGATAAGCGGCTCGGATAATGACTGGGTGAAATTTACAAAATGAGTTTGTTTCTCTACCAAGTGTTGATTTCTTGTTCAGCAGTATTGTGCCATCCTTGAATGGTCATTTTTCTTCAAACCCTTGTTGGGTTGAGATAGTCCCTCTTTTATACATGCATTCAATAATGTATGATGAAAATGTAAATAAAATTAAGAGCAATATGAATGTATTTTGTCCTTCTTTAAAATATCATTTTTAGTGTACATCTGGTTAGGAAGTGTGTGGCCCTCCAGTTAGCACAGACGAAATATTAATTTCAGGATGATGGGGCACCCTCACACAAGGTGCATTGGACGGAAGGGGTTTTACTGATCTGGAAGTCTCAGAAAAATTTAGCACTGCAAACAGAAAAACATGCACTCGGGGAGTGCTTATGGCTTTGACGACAGGAGACAAATGAATGTACAACATGTGTTATTCGACTAATTTACTCTAAGGAAACGTGATGGCGTGTGACTGCCCCCATGTGGACACATTCCTGCAAGTGGCCCCACTCCTGTCTGTTCTGGCAACAATACAACGATTTGAAAATGAATCATGAAGCTGGACCACACGCACGCTTCACGAGTTTAGTCAGTCCACACAGGAGTCATGAATACAAACACATCCAGGAGCAGTGAGTTAAATTCCGAAAAGCTGAACAATATGATGGGAGTTTTGCAACGCTCAGCCACATCCACTGCGCTCAAACTTTGCCACATGGCATTCCATTGTTGAAGCCTTTATAATCCAAAGGTGTCAAACTCATTTTTGTCGGTTTCCCTTGGAGGGCCGTTATGAATTTTGGGAAACGATATAAATGTTTAATTACCTCCATATATTACATACACAGCACACAACAAATTGATGGATAACCAGTTTTAAAATCAGAAGTTACCCGGTTCAGGGTGTCCCCCGCCTACTGCCCGAAGACAGCTGGGATAGGCTCCAGCACCCCTCGCGACCCTCGTGAGGAGCAAGCGGTTCGGAGAATGAATGAATGAATGAATAAAATCAGAAGTCAAGAATAAGGACTGTTATTGTTGATTACATATGACAATGTTATATTTTGGTTCAGACTTTAGCAGGCATCATGGAACTTGACATGCTTGATTTGTTTTCGCGGGCCACATAAAATGATGTGGCGGGCCAATCTGGCCCCCATGCCTTGACTTTGACACCAGTGCTTTAGATGTTTCACAAAAGGTCGGCACGATGTTTTTTTTTCGAATCTGCTTATCCTCACTCGGCTCACAGGCGTGCTGGAGCCTATCCCAGCTGTCTTTGGGCTGCAGGCAGGGTACACCCTGAAGTGGTTGCCAGCCAATCCCGGGGCACAAAGAAGATGAACAACCATTCAAACTCACACCTAGGGACAGTTTACAATGTTCCATGAACCTGCCATGGATGTTTTTGGAATGTGGGAGGAAACCGGAGTACCCGGAGAAAACCCACGCAGGCACGGGGAGAACATGAAAACTCCACACAGGAAGGCCGGAGCTGGAATCAAACCCTGCACCTCTGCACTCTAAGACGGATGGATAGATAGATAGATAGATAGATAGATAGATAGATAGATAGATAGATAGATAGATAGATAGATAGATAGATAGATAGATAGATAGATAGATAGATAGATAGATATACACGTAGATAGATAGATAGATAGATAGATAGATAGATAGATAGATAGATAGATAGATAGATAGATAGATAGATAGATAGATATACACCATATACATAGCTGATAGTGTGCAATAAGTGTTCCTGATGCTTCATGGTACTAGCACAAACTGACATCACTGCTTTTCTTATCTAACAGATACACGTTCCCATTCATCACTATGAGCTTCTTTATTTTCAGCATCCATCTCTTTTTTTCTTTTTGACTGATAAATTTGCTTAATTTTGTTGTCCCATTCGTGTATTTCAACAAACCTGCAAGTAGGTAGCCCCACGAAGGAGATTACCTAATCCTAACATGTTGCTCCAGTGTTTGGTTGCAGTTGTTTCAATGATATGATTATTGACTAAAATGGAAAGGAATACAAAAAACAAAACAAAACTACAGATGATGATATCTCCAGAGGGTTCCGTGTTCACGCTGGCTTAGTACGGAGGAGTACGCTCCGGATGGAGAACAAAAACTCATATTCCGATTGAGTTGTTTATTTACTCTAGTACAACAAATCAGCAAAGCATCAACCTCGTTTATCATCTAACGCATACATATTAGTGAACCTACGTTACATAAATCCCCCTGTTCCCATCAGCCAAATTATTCAGTACAAATATGCATCTGTGATGCCGATGCAAATACAGGCAAATTGCAACAGCAACGATTGATGAGCTAGTATTAGCTGAATGGGGAGAGGAGGGGGGCAAATAAAAAGCTCCAGTTAGTTTTTGCCCTGTGTGCCATATACATATGAGAGGCATTTTAATTCCCAACGTCAAATTTTACAAGTGTAACAGTTGGATAAAACATGGGTTGGTTGGCCTGCAGTCGATCCTTCCTTTAACCAATTGTTAGACAAGTAGCATTTTAGAACACAAATTTTTATGTTTTTTTTTTTGTTTTTTTTTTGTTATAGATATATCATACTACCTAATTGCCACCTGCAAGGAGTCAAGGAATAAGGGGCAGTTTTCCATTCACAGAGGTTGGGCTTCGAGAATGGTTACTTTGAAAACAGATATATGATTCAGTAGACTACAAAATCTAGTTTTTGATGATTTTGCTTATCAAGAGATAATTTGAGAGAAAAAGAGTTGTTCTCTGTTTGCCCAAAACATGTTCCAAAAATGGGCCAAACCATGGCCCAAAAATCAAAGTATGGACAGTCCTGCCCAGAAATCGAGTTACTTTCTCTGGTGTCATTGGAGACTTTTGAAGACTCTTGAGACTCCCAGCCAGCTGCAGTCAAATCAGGAGCATATTCACCACAACCAAACACAATTGCACTTACGCAAAGTGACGGCTGGCTGTTTTTTTTTAACCTGTGATTTTCACTCATGACGGCAGCACTTCATCACAAGCCGCCGAACTGTAGCACTTTTAGCCCGCACGTTTGTTTATATGTTGCTATTGCCGCATGCGGCAGGCACATTGCCAAACATTTATCCGCATATTTTCCATAATGGTAAAGTCTATCGCTGGAGTCAGGTGTTAACCAATCCTAGAGTAAACATTTGAATTGCAACAAACTGAGATGACATTTTCGGATCACGTATTTAACACTGCCACTCAGCAAAGACATTCACTTCTGTTCAACACCACCTGTAGCTTAAATCTGCAAACACAATGCCTGAATCTTTAGGATGAGTGAAACCGGTTTCGTTTGTTAACTGATCGGAGTTTTGGTTTCATTTGTCCTGATCACTGATCAGCAGTGAGACAGTCACAGCAACCACATACAGTCTGCTCAGTTCCCATTCAAATAAATGTTTTCTTCATTGAAGCAATATATCATTTATTTGAAAAGTTTTCGTTGCTACGTTATTGAATGCATTACAATTTGCCTCTTCATAATGATCTTTTTTAATTACATTTAACTTCGTAAAGTCAAAAACATATATAGAGTGTGAATATATTTTTGTTTGTTGCTTTGCCGATTCAATTTCCAGCTTTTGGGCGCGAAATGTAAAAATAGTACGGTTTAAAAAAAAAAAAAAAAAGTAAAGGCGCAAAGACGACGTGAGGCTGCGTGGCAAATTCTGAGTGGCGCTCCCGCACATCGTTCGGAGTTGCCCGCTCCTCCTCCCCCCTCCTCGGTTCGGCGAAACCTTTCTCGCCGGCTTCTGATTGCTTGCCGTCCCCGCCTGCAGGGCTTCATCTCCCCGGGCAGGAGAAAGCGTTGTAGCGGGCGGCGGTCTGCACGCTCCCCGCTACCTCCATGCTCCGCATCCGGTTCTGACGCCTGGCACCCGAACCTCGCATCACTACAGGTACGACTTACGAGCTGACTGCATTTGTTTTGTGCGCTAGCTGAACAGGTGCACGCCGCGTTTGGCCGTATGTGAATGACATTTTAGGGCCAGCTGCATCCCGGCCGTACAAAAGCACCGCTTTGTCTCCCTTGCAAAAGGACACAGGGCGTTGACACGTTTCATGCGCTCACTCTGTCGTGCATCACGGTGTCGTGGCGGAGATGTAACCAAGAGCATCTTTCTTATTTCATGCACATTAGGCCCAAGTGTGCAGAAGCCTCATGGCAGCAGGTGCACCTTTCTTCATTGTAGCATCTCCGCTTTCCTCCCCCCCCCCCCCCCCAGTCATCATTCCGAGATGAATCATTTATTTCGCAATCGTTGACGCTTCAGCCTTTGAAGCCGACCGTGATCGTGTCATGAGCTCATTGATGATGGTGTGTGATGATGGTTGTCGTGGGTGTGGCAGAGGGGGCAGGCGTGGGCGCATCGTAGACATCGGGAGGTCTGCGCACGCTGTGTGCATTGTGTGCAAGTGGAAGCCGGAGAAGTGGCGGGCTAGTGAAGCAACACGTTTATTGCAGATAAAAAAAAAAAAAAAGGGGGAACACTGGCTGAGATGCAATCTGCTCGCTTCCATTAAAACCAGTGCATTGGCGCTGAGTTTTAGTCTAGATCGGAGTGTTTTGCAACGGACGTGTGGAGTCAAGGTTTCAAATGTGGAAACATCTCATGATGCTAGTTTATCAAAGAAAAGTATGGTGGTGGTGGGGGGGGGCGCTCTGTCCTGCAATAATGATATTCAGTTTTACTCCCAAATAGACTTGGGGTGTGTTCACAATGACTCACCATTCCCTAAGCACCATATACCGGTGTTTTACAGACTGGACACTGGACAATATCAATCACTCATCAATCAAATAAATAAATAAAACGGTTTTCAAAGACTAGTTGGGCATGCCATTAATTACATCTTTGCTGTACTGGATTAAAGTTAGCCTATGGGCCATCTAGGCTATCAGTAAAAGATTACTCAATTCGGAAAATGTATCTGGACAAGCACTGCTTCAGTGTCATGATGTGCTGCTTTTTTTTGTACCAATGCCGTGCATCATGGGATATATGTCTTTTCTAGGGAACTTCAATTTTTTGCTACTTTTCAAAATGTATTGAGAGGAACATAAAGGGCACGATACACAAATTATACTCACTCACACAATACGCTTGAACAGCACAACAAAAATTATCGTTCTGACCAAATTAAATAACGTTTTAGGATTCAAAAAAAGGCCTTTTTGGAATCCTAAAACGTTATTCAGACAAAGCACGATTAAAAAAACTTTATTCAAGAAAATCGCACCGACAAAGTATACACTGAAATCTCTGGTCTCAAGATGCCAGGAAAAACAATTGACGAAACCAAAAGCGCTTGCAAAGTCAGGGTTCAATAGCACACCGAGAATACACAAACGGAATATGCAAAAGTCCAATAACACAAAAACAAAGAGCAATACTTGAATAAGAAAAATAATTACAAACAAGTATCTATAAATAAAAACGAGAGCGACTATGAACAGTATCGAGAAGTTTTGGGGGGAGAAACTCGCAATTAAAGCACAAAAACAAACAGGGTCAATAACCCCGACAGAAATCAGAGCCCTTAAATACCAAGCCAGCCTTGATGAGGAAACGAGGCGCAGGTGCACCTGCTGGAAGGAAACGCCCTTCACTCCAGCTGGAGCTGGAGCGCAATCAAGACAAAACATGACACCTCTTAGCCTTTTCATGACCTTTTTGACTCATACTTGAATACTCTCATTTTCAGAATACATAATGTGTATCACACACAACTTTATCTTGAGCTTGACACTTTTTTTTTTTTTTTACATAGCTAGCGAGCGGCACACCGGCTGTAAATGGCAGTTCTTTGCAGTCACGCTGCAATGAAAACAAAGAAAACGGCAAATGTCTTTGGAGGAAGAGAGCTTACTAAAAATAAAATGCAAACGTGTGAGTCTAAGTTTAGCCATCAGAAGTGTCTGTTTCCTGTAGGACAATTTTAGAGGATTGTGCTAACCAACAAGTTTTGTATCGACCTCTCTGGATTTTTAAGACTAGAAACGTGAAGAGCATGTGTCTGTTTTTGCTCATTGTGTGCGCGCTGCGCTTGATTTTGTGGGCCGCGGTCATGCCAAAGGCAGCAAGCAGTATGTATCAAACTGGTTTCGTAGAGGCCAAGTCCGGAAGGGGGCAAATTAAATCCACAGTCTATCCATCTGTTCACTCATGCATCACCGAGTTTCATTCGCTAATCATTTCCTCCCCATCTCAGGCTATCTGGTACGCGGCTTAGTAACAAGTCTCTCAGAAGATATTCTTCAGACATTCAATTGTTTATTTTTTTTTTTGGGAAATCGAAAGAGTGCTCAATCGCCTGACTGTCTTAAAGGCGGTTGTCAAGTTGGTTGCCTGCGAGGCTTTCTTTTGCAATAATAAAATTGTGTTCTGGATCAAATTATGACAGGAAAAATGTCTCAGACTCCCCAGTTGAAACAAGGTTATCCAGCAGCTGGAGATGTAGACGTGCAGTCACTCTTGTCAATATAACCTTGGGTTATTGTGTTCACTGAAAACCAAGCCAAGAGTAATGCTTAGGTCACATGCAGCTGCATGCATCATTCATCATGCACACTCGTGAGCAATTTCCCCCTTGAGTCGTATTGAAGATTCGTCCTCTGATAGATTCATACCAGCGTATTTGGTGCGGCGCCAAGTGGTGTGGCCGCAGCCAACCACAAGATGAACGCGTGGGATAGAAGTGCCGGCACCTTTTAAAAGGTAGATTAACGATGGAGGCATGTAATAAACTCACTTTTTGCCCGTACGGGGGATACACGGCCATACTACACATGACATCGAGTGTTCTGGTGCATCTCTCTTCTGAGACACCTCTCAAGTTATGATCTTTAAGTCAGCATTGAATCATAGGGCTCCATTTTTGTAGACGGTGCACATGCGCTCAGGCGTAAACAAAGAAACCAAAAAGAACGGGCGCACCTTGATTTTCATCTTATCAGGTTATCAGGTGACAGCACGGGTGTCAAACTCATTTTTGCCGCGGGCCACACTGGAGTTCCTTGGAGGGCCGTTGAGACAGTGAAGCCGAATGAATGTTTACGCAATCATCTCATCGTTTTATAACTTATACAGAACAATTGATGGATGAGTAATTTTGAAATCACTCAACTGTTTGTTGCTCAGTTATTAAGTGAGTGTCAACAGGGTAACAAAATTATTGCAAAATGTCAGTGTTATTTAAGACACATAATAATAATTTGACATTTCAGTACAGACACACATGAGCTGCTTCCATGGGCCACATAAAATGACATAGCGGGCCAGATATGGCCCCCAGGCCTTGACTTTGACACCTGTGGGCTACAGGTTGCATGAAAGGCTTAGTAATATATCCACCCGTGTAGAAGTATTCTTGGATCGGCTAATGTCATTCAAATTGGATGCACCATCGAAATGACGTTATTTGAAGCGTGGTGGCTGATGTCACGTGCAAAACTGTCGCCCCCCCCACTGCCTCAGTCTCCACCACTTCAGTTTCTCCCTTCGACAGGAGCTGTGATTGCCTTCAATATAGCACCAGGCGACGCTTCACCTCTCAAGGGTGTCAACAGGCAAAATAGTGCCCGGAGGCCTTTCTCTTCTGTTTTTTTTTTTTTTTTTGTCTCTTCTTTATCTTATTTTGATATGCTTGGCAGAAGATGTTAAGCCTGGAGTTTCCACAGCAACTGCATATTAAAAAGGCTCGCCTGACGACTCTGTTCTGTTCATTATCATAAAAGTGAACATTTTCCCATTTTGCCAAGCTAGAAAAAAAAAAAAAAGACGTAGGGCGTGACATCTTCTCCACCACTGATTGAGGAAATACACTTTCTCAGTTGGACTGCGATGATGTGGTCTTATTTCGGGCGGGACTCTCACTGTGATGAATTATTTTGTCCATGGATGGATGTCCATCTTGTTCTTGAGAATTCTGAACCTCTGGTTCTGAGACAATTGGCTGGAAGAACAGGAAGAAATATGACAGTAATGGAACCCAGTGTGTGAGAAGCAGGAAGAAAAACACGCAAAAAAGGGAAGTGTAGTCAAAACACAGTCCGTCCCGATCATCCCCAAAAGAGGACGATGAACTGACCCCACGTGTTAACCCTCCATGAGTGGAGACTTCCATCGCTACTATTTTTTCGACTACCTGATCGACAGAGCACAGCTTCCTCCTGGTTGCGTTCTCCCGGGGAGGATGACGTTGCAGCTTCACCGCTTCAGCGGATGAATCATTTATCTCCCGTTGCTTTGGGATGTGAATTACAGCAGACTGAAGTCGCGCTATGCAATCTGTCTCCAACAATGCCAAAAATCTGAAGCACGTGGGTGTGCGCGTGTGTGTGTGCGCGCATGAGTGTCTGTGTGTGCGCACGTGTGCGTGTTCCTCCTGTGGACAAGGACATCTTGCCACTCCCTTTCACCCAACCCCCCAGCTACGGTCTTGTCCTGGTTTCCCAGAGCCCCTCTCAGTCCATTTGATGGGTTGGCTGCGTTTGCCATTGTGAAGCAAGCGCTGATTGCAAAACGAAAAGATTGGAGGAAGAGAATGAAGACACGGCCTGCGTGGTGATCGGTTAATAGAGACAGATTGTGTGGAGCGGTCAGTGATAATGAAGCCGTTTATGTCATACAGAACGTCCAAGAGTGGTCTCTGAAACTGTCCAGTTTGAAGGCTGAAAGATGAAATGTATGTTTGTGGAGACATTTTTAAAAGTCAACACACCGAGTACAGAGGTCTGAAAGGTGGTCATTTTTTGGCATAAACGCTAGTGAAAGGTGTGGCTCGACGCGGTGCTGTCCGTCGATTGCTTGACAAATACTTCTTACTTCCATGTTCCAAATGGGAAGTGGAAGTATCAGCGCCTCACGATGGGCAAGTGAAATTATTCTGAAATTAT